CAACTACACTGTAATGTTGAATGGCTATATTTAATGTTTAGAGAAACATTGAGACAGTATTAGTATCAGTGATTCTGGCCTTCATTCATAAAAAGATGCCATTAAACAAGTATTTAAAACCTACAGTCTTTATGTCGTTTCTATATTAATTTAGAGGCAAACTGTGAAATGAAAATGTTATATTAATAACTTTATATACACAGTGTATATATATATATATATAATACTTTATATTATATTTTATGTTGTGTTATTATATATATATATATATATATATATATATATATATATATATATATATATATATATATATATATATATATATATATACAGAATAACATAAAATATAATATAAAGTATTGGGCTCAATATGAAACATCTACTTAATTGTTAATTGAAGAAATAATGAACAGATTATTCGATTACCAAAAATAGTTGTTTGCTGCTGGCCTATTGGAAACTTTTTGAAAACTAATGTTTCAAACAAAAGAGAAAGTCCTCAAGAGACTTTCATTTGCACAGTTAAATTCCTACTGTGAAGATGGGAGGCTTCTATATTTGAAAAGGAGTGAGAAGATTGTTATTTGGCTAATTACAGATTTAGGGCTGAAACAGTAAACTGTTGGAGAAGAAGAGAGCGAGGTGCTTGAGTGAGCTACATTAGAGTGCTGGAGTCACGTGACTGTGGATTCATTGTGTGCTGATGGCATCTTTTATCTCTTGCAATACTGATAGGCCTAACGGAGTAGTTTGGGCTGGGGAGTGGTTAAAGGGGTGGGCTATCTAATCTGATCAGAGACCATTGTTTTGAAGCTCATTTACCACTGGGGGGTCCAGAAGTTTCCACACAGTTGACAAGTCAACCCAAACCCACCCCCATCCCTGCGGCCAACACAAGAAGGTCCTTGAAAAAACAAGCGACAGACACAAAGGGGAAAGCGGAGAAGACAACCCAGAGGGCTATTTGTGAGGATTTGCTCATTCCTCACAAATACACAAGAGTGCTGACCGCTGACTCAGACCTTTGGTTCGAGTTTGAACAGCAGGAAGTCAGCTTGGTGAGACTGTTTTTGCTGTTTAGGAGATTCCTAGTCTCTAGAGACCAAGGAAGTTAATGCGAAACATCTGGGATCTGCATTTGGAAAAAAGAAACTAAAGAAACCTTAAGATGTTAGGAGGAGACAGTATGACTTGTCATGTAAAGCAACATCCCATGTCAGAATGGGGTAGTTGGACTGGTCATACAGAACAGAAAAGGGCAGGAAATAATTCATCTCCACTCTATCATGCTGCCATGAGCATTAACACTTGTAGATGAAGACCCCATCCTGCAATTCACATTCTGCCATATTGCGGAGGTCTCTCCTGAAGTCGCAGGGAGGATGAGAAGTCAGCAGCACAGAGATCACTGCTAATTGCCCGTGGTGAATGATTATGGAAATGAACCAGAAGGACATAGCAAAAATAAGACAAAGCAGATATTTGGCACAAGCTTTTCCAAGGTGCCTTTAACTGGGCATGAGTTAAAAATTTACAGTAGAAAGCCCTGCAACTTGGTATTTGCGTGCGTGCGTGTGTTCGTTCCCCAAACGTTATCTAAATCTAAAAGAAAGATCTCCACATGGTCCAAAAATAAATTACAGGCCAGTTCTGCATTGATATTTACATTGGTAGTACATCTTGTACATCAATTTTTATGTCTTGCAAATGTAAACATTTGGATACGATGAATTGATATATATCGTATTTATTTGTGCTATCCCCCTTAATGTTTATTTTTCTTCTTATTCTTCTAATTCCTATTTTATTAATGACTGTTTACTTGTCTTTAAAAAAATGTGAACTTTATGTTAGGCTGGTAAGTAAAATGCTGGTGTCATAACCTTATTTATTAAAATATAAGGTTACAAGTGTCAAAAACAATGAAAACAATAACTTTTTTGTGGGGGGGAGATCCTTAGTGTTGAGACTTGCTATTTTAAAGGCACAGTTAAATGTGACATTTATTATAATGGGTTTACATGAAGATTGTAATACGTTTGCTTAAATTTAAAGTTATTTATTTTAAAGCCTATTAAAATGTTAAAAATTATGCCTTTCAATTAATCTTGAACGATTGTATTCAACATTGCTTAGTTCTATGGTCGGGTTTGTCTGTAGTTATGATAATTAGCTTATTTAAAACAAATTAAGTCTATGGTATGTCCCCAATCTAGGTAAACAGGAGTATGTGTGTAAGTGGAGTTGCAGGAGACACTAGAAAAATACACCACAAATCTCCTGGAGCTGGACAGCACAGCGTTGAGCTCAGGATTGTTTGTTTGAGAATGGGCCAGGGGGATGAAATATACACTTGAGGTGTAAAGATCAGAATGACAAACCCTTCAACAAGTCTTTGAAAAGAGCAACTTTAGGTATGGCTTTGATTTTGACACACTCTTGCTGTAAATTCCATTCAAGTGAAGAGTACCATAAAAGAAACGCGCGTCAGTGAATAAAAGCCAGATTTAATGCGACTTATTTGCTTGTCACACAAAGAATGTACCGTGAACATCCCTGAAAGAAGAGGTCAGACATTCTTCAAGCATAAAGCCTGAGCTAAAAAAAAAAAATGGTCGTTAGCACTTAACCGCATCAAGCCGCATCTTTAATAAACTTAGCTATGCTCGTCTCCACCCCCTGACTACAACGAACGAGAGGAGGGCAGCAGGAGGAGAAGGGCTTGAGCTCCATCAAAGTCATGTCTGTTGTCAAAACACATTGAGATGGAGAAGATAAAATAAATGGCATCTTTTGGAAAGATGAGTAACACTCATCCTTCCAAACAACAGATGACCCCAGCCATAGACTCCCCCAACTGTATTGAAATAGTGGTAATCGGACCCTCTTGGGGCCCTCCACTGGGGCCCTTTGTACGCCTAAGAGTCAATCAAGGGCCGATGACAGACAAAGCCTAGTCAGATTTAGGAGAGAAAAGCGCCGGAAGGGTCGATGCAGAGGCCGGAGTCGTGATCCATCCCGAGGCAGGGGGACAGACGGGCCTCTGCCCATGATGCCCTGCACTGACCTCTTGTCACCTACGACTGTGCCCTGCATCTTCACCTCTGACCCTAAATCACGACACCTAGACCTGCTGTAAAAGCACAGGGTGGAAAGGACATTATTCAGATGCTTAATCTTCCAATGAATAAAGCTATACAACAAGACATGGTTTGGCAGTGCAATATAACAATGTATATGTATATGTAATCATTAAAAATAAATGTAAAACATAATTTGAATAATATATATATATAATTATATATATATATATATATATATATATATATATATATATATATATATATATATATATATATATATATATATATAAATAATAGATTATTAAAAATATTTGTATTCTTTTTTACATTTATTTTTAGTAATTACATATGCAGCTACACACACACACACACACACACACACACACACACTCAGGAAGGTTCTTGGGAAAGGCACAAAATCTTGGCAGTCAACAGTCAAGTCAAACAATAGTGAAAGCAGGTCAACCAGCATTTAATCACAACCCAAACTCTGTGCGGTATATCAGTTCCTTTATTAGAAAAACAAATATGTAAAAGATCATCACACAAGCAAGTAAAGCATGCTGGAAGAATTCCATGCAGTTGATTAAAAACTTATAATAATTTGAGCAATAAAAAAAGGTCAGAAGAGTAGGAGTATATAATCAGTTTTCAAATGAAAAAAAAAGCCATCCATGAATGGGATAGTTCATCTAAAAATTAATTTCATTATCACTCACTATAATGTCATTCCAAACCTGTATGTCTTTCTTCTGTGGAACAGATTAATTTTAAATAATTTACTGGCTACTCTTTTCATTATAATGGCAACTGAATGACAGAAATGCACCATGGCGTGGAGTATGGACAACCTTATATTTATGTTGCTTTTTTGGCTATTTTGTAGCTTGCCAACCCCAATCCTCATTCAATTCCATTATATGAAAAAAGACTGGCCAAAAATTGCCTAATAAAAAGTTTACTGCGACATGAGGGTTAGCAAACTACATTTTTGGGTGAACTTTACTATTAACAATAAGGGTAGAAGAACCAGATCAGCTTGCAAAGAGTTTAGGCACAACACAATAACCGCTCATCCAAAGTGGTCTGCTCAGGTCGGAACAGACCTGACTGTACAAAGGTCTTCAAAAGCCCTTTGGAGATGATGACACACACACACACACGTGCAACTGGTTTATGAGGGAGCAAATTCGCCATTTGGAGCCACTTTAATACTTAATAAGCATAATGAGGCTGAACATAACGCCTGACTTCAGAGCTTAAAAAATCATAATGTGCTGTGAAACTTAGATGGCACTAACAGCACACTCTCTATCAGACACACACACCACTAAAATAAAGATTTAAATAATGCATACCAGGGCTGATCAATTGCTTTGCCTTTTCTCAGCATCTCTAACATATAAACTACTCCATTACTTAATTCTTAGACACACACAGAAAGCTCATCTAAATAATGCTTAAGGCGGCCTTCAACAAACACATGAAATGCCCACTCAAGCTGCCTATTCTAGGCTGCTCAATACTCATCTTTCTTTCTCCTGCTCCCCCTAGCGTCCACCGTAAGTACAGCATGATGGAAGCTGGAAGGAGAAAGAGAGAGAGAGAGAGAGAGAGAGAGAGAGAGAGAGAGAGAGAGAGAGAGAGAGAGAGAGAGAGAGAGAGAGAGAGAGAGAGAGAGAGAGAGAGAGAGAGAGAGAGAGAGAGAGAGAGAGAGAGAGAGAGAGAGAGAGAGAGAGAGAGAGAGAGAGAGAGAGAGAGAGAGAGAGAGAGAGAGAGGCTCCGCCCCTAGATGACATCAGTGCTGTGTTGAAGCAGAGCTGGAGGCAGATGCAACCCCACACTTGTAGTGAGCTCCAGGCAGCTGACCAGCTCTGCCAACTTCTCTATCTTGTCTCTCTCTCTGAGCCAAAGGAGTGTGTGTTTGTGTGTGTGTATGTATATGTGAACAAGTGTGTGTGGAAATAAAAACACACCCAGCTATTCGCACCATTGCTGCTACTGAGCCTTTTTGGGATTGAAATCATCTTCCACCGTATTGGATTTATCCTACGGACTGACTTTATTCTTTGAGGATATTCTTTTTGATTTTCCTTTTTGAATTATTGCTTTGTCAGGTAAGTGTATATTGTCATGCGTTTTCCCCTTATTTTTGTTTTATTTAAATTGTAGGCAGACCCTCAGGGATTTGAGGGGGATGCAATAGCAATTTAAAATCACAACAGTAGTCATGAAATTCAGCAGTATACCCCTCCATTTGCCATTTAGGATTTAACATGCATCTCCAAAAATATTTTAAAACAATAGTTAGTTTTAAAAATAAAATAAAAATACTGGCATAATTTAATAACCTTTATGTTTCAAATATCTATGACTTTCTTACCTAGAACTCAAAACGACAGCCAAAAGAGAAATGTAAAGGCTCAGTCACTATTCACTTTCTTTTTTTTCCATATAATGAATATGAATGTGAATGAGACTGTCGTTCTGTTTAACATCACATTTTACAAAGGATTTTGTTAAGTCATATAGGTTTGGAACAACTTGGAAGCGAGAAAACGAACGAATTTTCGTTTTCATTTGTGGGTGAACTATCCCTTTAAGTCTCCATTCCGCTGCCGCGAATAAACGCACTAAGGACGTAGGCTACAACTTACATTTTATTCTCATCAGCACTCTATATCAGTTAACCTGCTATAAAGATCTTTAAAACATCGTTTAGAAAAAAAACGCAATGCAGATTGTATTTTTACCGGCTGCAGTCAACAGTAACGTTTAAACTTACGCGTTACGTCTTAAATCTGTTCTTGTGTGAGAGGCTTGTCGCTAATGAAACGAACAGACGTCGATTACAAATGAGAAAATATATATTAAAAGTGTCTAACCTGTGCTCTAAGAGCGTGATGAGAGAGTGATTGGAATAAAGAATGGGCAAATCGGGGATGCGGCGCGTACACTGCGCGCGAGGCGACAAAACTAGAACTCTCCCATTATAGAAGCCGCTTGCAGCGCTCACAGTTTCGTTGATTATGAGGGTCGCGTTCTAATTTGGAATACTAACGAAAACTCAAAAGATTGTGATTAGAGCGCAATCTTAAATGTGCGCCCTGTGCTTTTCAGTGAGAGTGTGTCGCTGGCGCAGTAAAGAGATCTGAGGCTGTCAGCTGCTTCAGGATTTTCCCATCAAACGAATTTCCCTTCTTTTAAGTGGTCTTCCAAGTTATCTGATAGATACGCTTTCATATCTGTTAGGCAGAAAAAGTCAAGATTGAAATAATAGTTTTGTGCAGATACAGAGAGAGGGACTGTGAGATGACGATAAGAGCCAAAGCCTTCAGTCAGAGCTGATTAAATCAGTTTATAAGACTACTAGGCTATAGTAGACGATTCACATTGGACAAGTTTGCAAGAAAATCCACTATGAATCCCTACTGTACTTTTAAGTGCAAGTTGTTTTCCCTAGCTTTGAGCTTCATCTGTGATAATGCACTAAAAGACTGTGTATTCAAAAAGGTTAGTTTCTTAGCACAATAATAGCAGAGAACCACAATTGGTCTGTTTTGACTATGTAAGGAGGGTGATCAAATTAACTAACCCATTGTTCTTTGTTGGACGTGTCAAAGCACTCTGTGGCAGTCTTTTTCGCTTGCATAAACAATTTGTATCAGTGATTCACAAATACCACACCTCCAAGCTTTAAAAGACGTAAATATCAGTCTCCTTTAAGATAATAATAAACAGCAATGCAAATTAACCAACTTTCTAGATTTTAATACTAAAATCTAAGCATCCAGTGTATGTTTACCAGCAGCCAGGCAGATAGCACTCTTTGTTTCAAGCCATGAATGCCGGAGGCTAAACCCAGTGGTCCGTGGCATTCACTCAGAGTCAACATGAAATGGTCATGTCTTTCAGGCCTTCAGAAAAAAGTCTGTCACCCTTTTGTGCAGACGACTAAAACAAATCATCTAGTAGAATTCTCCTCATGTCGGCAGCCAACCTCTGACCTCGGTGAGGCTATTCTATAAAATGTACCTTCTAAAAACAAGCCTAGAAGTTAATTTTCTGAAGCATTTAAGAAAACGACTTCTTTTTATTGCTTAAGTGGAAATATTCTTTTCTGAGGACAAATTATGTAACAAACAGAAAACTAGGACTGAATTTTAGCTTTATTACTGATACAATCTACCCCCTTTGGAGTGGAAACAAAAAAGGTACAGTGCAGTAAATCAACCCATCCCTTTTTGCCCTTGTCCAGCAACTGCTGCCCCCTGTACCCTGGCAGGGGGTACATATGTGGTAATTAAAGCGCCAGTTCAGCCTCCAACTGTCTGTGTGTATCTGCATGCACAGGCCTGATACAGAAGCACTTACCACCCCCAAGTGGGGAAAACAGTGCAGCTGCCACAGACCACTCTCTTTTCAGTGCAGTACAAAAGAAAAAGACCCCGTCTCCCCTAGAATCCACTCTCACTGCCTGAACGCCAGCCAGGGACAAACCTGCGGATCATCTGCCCCAAAACCGCACACAGAGGGGAGCCACTAACACAATAGCCTGCTCTTAAATTAACGTTAAAGCCGTGCCCAAACCGTTCTTCTCGATTCCAAATATGTAGGCAGAAATGTTTCATCTCTCAGCCCACTAGGCTCAGAGAGGCATGATATGGCTTCATGGACATAAGATACATGACAAAGAGGCATTTAGTTCAAATCCTGCCTGGGGTTTAGAATCTATTATGTATTGAAAACAAGAGAGCTGTTTTTCATAATCATAGCCCAGGACCTACCAATAAAGACTGCAGTGCAAATTTAATTTCAGCCTAAATGCCTCTGTTGTTCATGCATGGGTACTGATCAAATGTGACAGTATTTTTGGAAACTAATAGAAAACATCAATTCTGAATTTAAAAATGATGCATAATACAATGTTTACCATCTTAAGGTTTAGCCTAATTTCTCTAAGAAAAGCAGAAAAATATAAATCACATATAATCCAAAGCATTTTTATAATAATGTAAAATAATATTTGTATTTAATATTCCAGTTTTCATATGTATTAAAATTATAAAATTATTCAATATTCTTGAAAACTTAAAAAAAAAAATGTCTCTGCACTTCAATGTTGCATAATCATATTTAAATATTTAAATGTTTTTTTCCTTAAATGCTTTTTTTACACATTTCTCAGTGCCTCAACCCTAGTGTTCTAAACTCAAGACACTAAACGCGCAAAAGGTAGTTGGCTGTGAACATTTTAACCAGGATGCTCGATTGAACATCACTTCGAGCAGAGCAATGGAGCAGAAGCAGGCCTAGCCATTAGAACGATCTTCTAACGGAAAATGTGGCCTATTAGAACGATAGTGAGAGGTGCCCATCACATTCAGTGGCCTTTCTTCTCTGGCTATGAGCAGTGGGTGGGATAGGGGCTGGAAGATTTAACCAAATGTGAAAAAGCTAATAATTCTAAGTGAAAGAAGTTCAGTAAAGCAGAAAAGCGAAGGCCGGGGCCCTTATGCTTAACTTGAAATGAACAATGGACCACTGCCACTTCAGTGAAATCTGAGAAGCCATGGGAAAAAAAGAAAAGAAATGATAATACAGCCAATCATCCAGCCAGATCAAGGTTTGCATGACCCATTGAGACAGCTGGCATGACAAGCTTAGGTGAAGCGTATAAGGTAGATGCCCTCCCTTCTTTTCTGTTTGACCTTTACGACCATAACATAATACTGGCCCACATATATTTCCCAAAACACCTGTGCTTTTTATCGAGGCCTCCTGAGTAAGATCTCAGCTGAAATATCACGAAATAAACAGCAACCTGTGAGTGAACCCTTAAATTTTCAGGGAAGTATTTTGGCAGAAAAAAACCCAATGGGGCTTGTGTTTCGCCAACTTCCTTTTGCCCGCTCTTGTGCCAGGAAGTGATTTACACTGGGTACAGTACATTAAAAAAAAAGAGCAATTTCATCTCCACATAATTTTACAGTCTGTTATTTGTCAGACTTCTAGAAAAATGGCAAGCTACTTTACACACATAATTCTCCAAATCAATACATTTCCTCAGAACAGTTGAAAAATTGCATGCTGATCTTTAACCAACTATTCACCATTCCTGCAAGTACTTATTTTCCTCTTCAATAAATCTGACAATAATGAGGCTAATGTTTCAGCATTCAACAAAAAAGAAGCAACTTAGTCTCTGTCAGCATACTGAAAGCTCACCGTCAAACATCACCTGCCCTTAAAGAAGAGTCACAGCTGCTGTTTCCATGCCCTCGTTAATCTACTATTACAATAGTAGGCACATGGAGCACTTAGGCTCAACAGAAGGATGGGATGTACTATTAGACCTTGTTGGTGAGACCTGTTATCAAGTTACAGGGCCTTCAATTCCCTAATCTCTCCTTGTCACTCCCTACAACTGTTTCAAAGTTGCCTGACATACCCCAGCATGTTTTACAGAAAGGTTACCATCCACAGGTCAGCAGAAGGGTTTCAGGCAAGGGCACAAACCATGGTGATGGCTGTCAGTTGGAGAAATGTATATTGTCAGTCTATGCTACAGGAAAGGTGTACCGTGGGAAATTACAGTATGGAAGTTGTAGCACAGACATTTCTTTGGGGCCACCGGAGGGGACTTGCATGAATTTGGGCATTCATGAGTCTGCAAGACATAAAACTTGTTCATCTCACATGTACATTTTTGAGCAGTGCGAGGGCGTTGTGTTCAGGCGCTGTCGGGGCAGCCCGAGGGACCTTTGGTGGCTGCTCGACACCTCAGCAGCAATATGCTTCACCATGACTCTTTTTCCCCTCACCTTCTCCTTCCAGAGCGTCTTCAGCCACTTTGAAAGCACAGCTCAGCGGAGAACGTTGCCAGGCAGGAGGGAGCGGTCTTTGGCCATTGTAGCAGGGCCCAAACCGTGGTTGCTTTTCTTATGCAAAGGAATTCTTTTCAGCCATCACCATAGAGAACACTAGAGGGGGGATGTTAGGGTTAGTGGCAGACAGAACAACGCACATGGTTATCCTGGCAGCACAGGCTTAAGGCGAGGAAAAAGAAAGGTTTTTTATAAAAATCCACACAATATCTCCACTAATCCAGGTTTCACAAACAGTGTCCACTATCAAAGGACTGCAGCCCAGGGGCTTTTCTCTGTGGTCATTTACCCAGAGGCAAAAAAAATCCCCTGATATACAGAAACCCAATAAGCTTAAGGGACTTTCAAATTCTCATCTCAACCACACACTCTTATTTTTCCCTCACTTCAATCTGATAAGTCTCAAATGCAGTGAAGCGATCTACAGGCCATAAAAATCCATAAAAATCCAATCCATTGTGGTGTACGTTTTATGTTAGGTCCAAACCTTGAAAACACAAGCTAAAAAGCTATAGGTTTTCGTCAATGTATTGTCGATGGCAATGTGAAACTGCTCTGTTTGAAGGACAGTGGCCAATTGCAGCTGGCTGCATCGCTGTCTGACTCAATCTCAGCCTTGGCACTATCATCTCAGAATTAAATAAACGCTGCCTAACAGCATATTACACAAAGTCAATAACTCATTCTGAATGAGGCCACGTTCCTTTTCCGGTGTCTTGACGTATTCAGATGTCACATGCTGTCAATAACCAAAGAATCTGCTCTTATTGACATTTTCTTTTCTCTCTATCCTTGTTGGTAGGAAGTTCAGCATGTGAGAGGGAGTGGGTGTCTGCACGTCAGGCACAGGTTTGTGAAACGAGAGCCAGGGAGCCAGAGTGCTACAGCAGCACAGGAGATTCTGCTTTCGAGCCACGAGGCTGGATACTTTATTCATGCTCCTGCCGGGAGTGCGACTACAGAATTCGGGGCTGACTTTGGAGCCTGACTTCAGAACCGAACCACCCTGGATTTCAGCCCAGCGTACTGCAGACGGACAGAGGTCTTAACGCCATGACCAGTCTGCTTTGGGAGAGACGGGAGCAGTTCACTTCTCAAAGAGGACTCTCTGTTACACACAAAAGGGTCTGATTAGGAACCGCAACTTAAAATAAAAGGATTCTGCTCTCTTTTTTATTTCCTTTTTTTTTTTGGTGTCTTTTTTTGTAATTAAAAATTACTGAAATTGCATGCCTGCGCAGGAAAAGCCTGCCTGAGGTCTGTCTGGAAGTGGAGCTGCTTGCTTTATAGGTTTATCTACCATGGCAAAGCCTTTGATTGCATGAACTGTGGACGCTGCAATACAAGAAAGGAGGTCAGCGGTACAAACAAGGATCAGTTCAGCAAATACCAGCCTGGTCAGGATATAACCAAAGAGACCCCTTTGACAAGACGGACAAACATCTCCGGAAAGAATAGAAAGGAAGGTTTAAAGCCTCATTGGATTTGGGGTGGCAGCAGAGGATTAACTGGCATTTCTAAATCAGGTAAGACAAATATGGATGTTATGTGCCTTTTCTTCTAATATACATGTGCACAAACAGAGGTAATGAGGAAAATGTGAAATGAAAGTAATAAATCAAAAAAGATTATTAAAAAAAAGTTCACACATTAATTGCCAATGGAAATAATATAATAAAATGACATAGTATATAAAAAATATAAATACAGAAAAATAAAATATGTAACATATAAAATGTATAAATATTATATATAACATAAAACAACATATCATATTTATATATAATATATAAACAATGTAAAAACATATTATTATATATTATCTTATGTAAAAATGGTTGAAATAATTCGCTTTTCATTTTCTTCCAAGTTACGAGCCTAACACCTTTTGCAAACTATGATTCTCTGAAATGTCCTTCAGGGAACCCAAATCTTACACACAAAAAAGAGAAAAAAGACAAGCTGATTTTACAACGTTTAATCAACAAGGCCTGACTTTGTTCAACCACCAGTTTTCAGCGATGAAATGCAGTCTTGAAATGCACTGGCTAACAGCAGAAATGTGTAAAACAACAAGAGCCAGAGATTACATTACACACGGCAAAAGATAAAACCTCACACACAGGCATCTCATTCAAGGAAAGCTACCAGGTTTAAGGATTTGTTATCTACATGCACAGCTGATTGGGAATATCCTTCCACTTAAATTAGACTTGCTTCTAAACCTCTCCTTTTCCTCTTATTTTTTCCCCTCTAATCCCTCTTTCTTTTTTCAGTAGTTTGTTGTTGTTTTTTTAGATAAAAATTATTTCAATCAAGATAAACACCCAAGGCATGTTTCGCTACCATGGTTTTTTCATTTGTTCATGTCATTGGAAATGTTAATAGCCTCTTTTCATTAATTCAAAAGCAGAAATATAGTATTATTTTTCTTAAATTGAATCTTTACAATGAAAGAGGCGCTGCAGGCACTGTACATAAAACAGCAATTAGAGCAGGACATTGCCTTTTCTTCAGACTGCATGGATTTGACTTTCTCTTTTTTTTTTCTCCAAGGGCAACAACCACGAAGAGGACATTAGCGATGGCAAGCAATTACAAGTCCTTCTTCGTCATCTTCATCAGAGCTGGGCTTTTGCTTGGCCTGGCCAATCCATTGGTGACCTCAGCTTCCTGTCCCTCGCAGTGCCGTTGCGATGGGACTTTCATATATTGCAATGACCGGGATTTGACTTCCATCCCTTCGGGCATCCCAGAGGACGCTACAGTACTTTTTCTCCAGAACAACCGCATCAAAAGTGCAGGGATCCCTACGGATCTACAACGGCTAAACAATGTCGAAAAAATCTATCTGTACTGCAACAATCTTGATGAGTTCCCCACCAACCTGCCGCTGAATGTCAAGGAACTTCATTTGCAGGAGAACAATATACGGACTATCACCCATGCCTCCCTGGCACAGATTCCCATTATTGAGGAATTACACCTTGATGACAATTCCGTTTCAGCCGTCAGCATTGAAGAGGGTGCATTCCGGGACAGCAACCATTTGAGGCTGCTCTTCCTGTCCCGGAACCACCTAAGCACGATACCTTCCGGTCTGCCATTGACTATTGAGGAGCTTCGCTTCGACGACAACCGCATCTCGTCCATCTCAGAGGTATCCCTGCAGGATCTTATAAACCTGAAGCGACTAGTTCTGGATGGCAACCTATTGAACAACAGGGGCATTGGGGAGATGGCTTTGATGAACTTAGTCAATCTGACCGAGCTCTCGTTGGTACGAAACTCCCTGACATCCCCACCCTCCAACCTGCCTGGCACAAGCCTGGAGAAGCTAAATCTTCAAGACAACCACATCAATCACGTACCAGCAGGTGCCTTTGCTTTTCTGCGACAGCTGTACCGCTTGGATCTGTCAGGCAACAACTTGAGCAGTCTGCCCATGGGTGTATTCGACGACCTGGATAACCTTACCCAGCTGCTCTTGCGTAACAACCCATGGTACTGCAACTGCAGGATGAAGTGGGTACGTGATTGGCTGCGCACCCTTCCATCTAAGGTCAATGTGCGTGGCTTCATGTGCCAGGGTCCCGATAAGGTCAAAGGGATGGCCATAAAGGACTTATCCACAGAGCTGTTTGGCTGCTCGGACACGGAGATTCCACCCACATTTGAAACCAGCACAGTCTCAAACACTTTGCCACCCTCTCGACCCCAATGGCCCTCATACGTAACTAAAAGACCTGTGGTTAAGGGTCCAGACCTTGGAAGAAACTATCGTAGCACAACACCATCCAGTCGTAAGATCATCACAATAAGTGTTAAATCCAGTAGTGCTGAGACGGTGCACATATCTTGGAGAGTATCTCAGCCCATGACAGCCCTGAGGCTCAGTTGGCTAAAGCTGGGCCACAGTCCTGCATTCGGATCCATAACTGAGACCATTGTCCAAGGGGAGAGAACAGAGTACCTGCTTACAGCTCTGGAACCCGAATCCTCTTATCGGATATGCATGGTTCCCATGGAAACTAGTAACATTTACCTGTCAGACGAGACACCTGTTTGCATAGAGACAGAAACTGGCTCCCTGAAAGCATACAATCCCACCACAACCTTGAACAGAGAGCAGGAGAAAGAGCCTTATAAAAATTCCAATCTGCCTTTAGCTGCTATCATCGGAGGAGCAGTGGCCCTTTTGGCCATCATCATGCTGGCCCTGGTGTGCTGGTACATCCATAGGAACGGCTCCTTATTTTCCAGGAACTGCACATACAACAAAGGGCGCAGGCGTAAGGACGATTACGCTGAAGCTGGAACAAAGAAGGACAACTCCATCTTGGAGATTAGAGAGACCTCTTTTCAAATGATTCCCATAAATCACATGCCTGTTTCAAAGGAGGAGTTTGTTATACACACAATTTTTCCTCCCAATGGCTTAAGTCTTTACAAGAGTCCACACAGTGAAAACAGCATCAATAACAGAAGCTACAGAGACAGTGGAATACCAGATTCAGACTACTCTCATTCATGATAGTGTGCGCGGATTACAAAGACATTTTATTGCTAATGAAAGACTTGGAGGCTGCTTGGTCTTTTGCAAAACACTGGATTGAAAAGACTGAGAAAGCATTGTTATGTACATTTGCCATATAATTTATATTTAAGGACGATTTATTAAAAGGAAAAAGGTTCCGATTGCAGGCCATCACTGAACCGTCGGTGTATGCTGCCACAAACTGCAATTCTATATTTTAGATATTTGTAGTCATTTGTACTGTACTTCCTTTACTTATGGTTTTAGACCAATTAAAAAAACTTTGTGCTCTACTGAGATATGATGACTTGTCAACTGTGAAAGTGGGTTTTCATTGCTGTGTTGAACAATCAGATATTAGAAAACCATGTAGTATAAGCACAGGTCAAAACTATTGCTATGTTGCTGTCAGTGAAAAAAAATACAACAAAAAACAAGGCTGCGGGAATATAGGGCATAGTTGATCAAAGGAAATAAAGACACAAGTGTTTTGTTAATTTTAAGGAGGGCGGGGACAGACTTACTCCGGTGTCACAGAAACCTCTGGGTTTCTTTAGGAATACTGGTTGCCTGTTTCAGAATGCTGCCAGGCTTTACATCACTCCAACGTTTAGGAAGCAGATATCTATTACTTCCTCTCTGCCCTGGAAGAGGAAGCAACACAGCACAGAATCCTAAATCCTTTGCAAACGAAGCACACCGATCAAATGAGAGGTTACTTTCCAGTCAAATCAAAGCAGATGTGCTAAAACACAAGAACAGAACTAAATATCGCTCGTTCGGCAAAGGGAAACAGCATTTACCAGATCCCTCAGTACAGTTAACCACATGTCATGTAAACGTTGCCCTCCAAAAGGAATATATTGTGGGCAGAAAAAGTATGGCAAGAAACACATTTGGGCTCTTTTCTATTTGGAATATAAAGTGTCAACTATTTTTTTGTTCATATAATTCTTATTTGTATTTTTGTTTTCTAATTCAAGCCACTTTTATGTTGCCACAGTTAAATTGTTCTTTACAACTGAAGACCAAAGTGCATTGAATGCCCTTTGGCCAGTCTTGTATGTGCCTTGATCCAATGCTTATTGTATTTAGCTTTTTCAAAAAAATAAATCAGTGACTTAACTTTTTTCATACACACTTGAATATGATAGGATATTGGTCATATTGCAAAATAAAAGTGGATAAAACCCCAACTTGATGGTCTCCTTTTCCCCAAAAAGAATGCTTTCCATTTATTTTTAATCCCTCTAAACTTTGCATACACCATTCCGGTCCTCAAAAGTCTTCATCTAAAGCAGTAGTGCCTAAACTGGGGTATGAGTACCCCTGGGGGTACGTGAGATGACAGAGTGGGTATGCGAACAAAATGCTGAGTTGTTTTTAATTGATGCGGCATTAACAAGTGCATTACATGGTGACAGTGTGTGCGTGTGAGAGACAGAGCGAGCACAGGTTTATGCAGATGTATTTGGAGGTTATGTTCTGCTATTGGCCCTCGGCAAATATGCTTTTGAACAATCAGCTTTCTTGAGTTCAAAACCCCTCTCATTGTTTTGAGCTTACTGCTAATTGTTTTGCGCACAGTAAAGCATAAAGTTTGGAGAGCAGCATAAAGTTTAGAGAGAGTCTATATACCTGACAAATGATTCTAATAAATATAAGTTAATGTCGCCAAAATGTCAAAAAGACAGTCAAGCATATATCTTCATTTTCCATATCCATGAGTAAAGATGATGGTCACTGGAACTACCAATACTAATCAGGATAGCGTGAGACACAAGCAATGGGAGTTAGATCAGTCAGAATGAGAAATTGATGTAATGAAAAGGCAACGACTTCAAAGGTGAGAGAGAATATCACTGATCAACTGGATAATATTTGGTCTCAACGATAGCTACATACATGTTAAGGCCGTGCAGAAACCTATGAATGATAATCTTATAGTTGTGCCATCACCGTTTAGTGACGTCATTGTATGTTCCGGGAAAACTGAAGTTGCATGGCCAGTGTCGGTCACAGCGCCTTTTAATTCCTGGTTTTGATCCGACAATTATTCATTTAGCACTGTTAAGCACTGGTTCATAATACCTTTAAAAGTGGGGTTTTAGCACTTACTAGCATGAAGAACAAATATAGACACAGACTATAGACAAGATTTAAGACTCAAACTATCTTTGGATACAAAAACACCCTTTGTGAGTTTTTAAGAGGACAAATAATGGAAAAGGTGTCCCTTAATGGAAAAGGTGTGACTGCAGTCTAAATAGAAGAGAGGGGGTACGCAGAAGGATGTTAAATGCCTTGGGGTATGCCACTGTAAAAAGTTTGGGAACCACTAATCTAAAGCCTACTGAGGCTTCTTACTAGTACAGCCTCCGCTTGGGACTCCAGGTGCTCTTTTGTGTGGTTAAGCCACGTATGACTTATCTGATTGGCCCAAGTGGGAAATATACTGAGAACAGAACAGAAGCTAAATGAGGCCGTTGGAGAGATGCTGTGCTGGATTTTGATGCATCCCGCGACCAGAGGGAAATGTATGCATCTAATGACTATATAGCATTAGGTTGATGGCACAGCTCAAATCACAGTAGGAATCGCACAGGTGGCTCGTATGTGCACATGTGTACGCATCAACACAACATATATGTGGGCCATGAGTGTGCGAACGCACACAGATGAATACACATCGATGCACACGCCCCGAGATGTAATTACAGTTCAGGGGAGCCTCTAAAAACAGCAAGTCTGATCCAAACCTTAAGTATACTTCAACAGTCTCCAGTACTAAATATACCGCATCAGCTAGAAATTAAAGTAAACACTCTCTGTGAGCATATGGTACTGCAAGGGTCCACATATGTGAATGTTGTTGATGTTCCACAACTTGCCTTGTCATTTGTTTATGTGGTTTCCTGACTGACAGTATTAGCGATTTTTAAAATGCTGAGTGATGGTTTTGAAGTTTCACTCACTTCCTTTTAAATCTGAAGGCTTTTTCTTTATGAGCTATTTTATTTAAAATGAACCTTTATCTGATCAAGGATGCATTTGTACAATTGATTTAACCTCTGAAAAGAATGTAAAATCCAGACATCAGAAAGTAAACTGTGTTAGGTATAAAAAACACTAACATTTAAACTTGAATCCATAACCAAAATACTGTATTACAGTATGTCTAATCCATAGCATTCAATCGACTCCGAATTACAGATTTAATATTCATTTTTTCTCTCCCTTAAATCCCAGAAAAAAAAAATGGTTACTCCATCTTCTATTCAAGTTTGTAATACTCTTCTTCTGCATATTTACTCAATACTCACACCAGCTGCTGTAACTTACAAATCATTCATTCTGAAAATAAGATGTCAGCCAGAACTGAAGGTATAAAGCAGTATCAAGCATGAATCAGATCCAAGCAGTTTTAATTATCAAAACGCACAGGTGTGCGAGTGTGTTTGAGCGTACACATCCCCTTTATGGATGTTCTGCATGCAGTAAATCAATCTCCAGTTTCCTAACACCATTAGAATTTTTTACCGCTTGAGCTACGACCAAAACGGCTTGAAATATTAATATCATGTGCAGCATGGTGAAAGCAAATCAGATGGACGAGAGTTCAAACAGTAATTTGTATTCTCCAGTTAAAATGATCTATTCAGAACACTAACCTTAAGTATTGGGGGAGGGCGGATTGAGCGGCTGCTACTGGGGGTGACCTGTGGTGACCCTTTTAACACAATGACCTCACCTCTGGCATCTTTGTCAGCACATTGTTGGAGCTTACAGATGACCTCATTCACCCTGGGAAAACCATTGATCAGGTCTGATGTCCATGAGGCCGGTGCACACTTGAAATTCTACCTTGAATAGGGCTCTTCACTTGAGATACAAGACAAAAGTATCTTTAAAAAAAAGTCTCTAAAAAAAAACATACACTATCGACATAATGATGTGGAGCTTGAAAATATCAGGATCTAAAAAACATATACTCTAAGAAACTGGATGTTGCTCGGTCATTACTTTTGCTGTGGTCAAAGAAAGCGATGACTGATCAGAGGTCAGATAAAAGCAGGTGAAACAAGGGTCACAAGCCAAAGATGAAAAATTGGTGGACAATCTGGATGTTTGACCCCTTTTTTTAAAAGCAATTAGTAAAAAAATTTCATCTTTTTGGACATCTGGCCCTTTTTTAAGCAAATGGTACACATTTTTCATCTTTTTAGACCTTTGACTCCCCCTTCTTTACAATTGGTGGACATTTTTCATCTTTTCAACTTTTGACCGACTTGTAAAGCAACTAATGAACATTTTTCATCTTGTTGGACTTTTGACCTCTATTTTTTAAGCAAAGGAAAAGTAGAGATCAGGTCATGCATTGTTATCATGGACAATGACAGATCCCTGGCTCTTTAAAACAATTAATTGTGTGAAAAATAATGCAACTGCTCTTTTTTCATCATAAAACATTTATAAGAGCAACTAAAATAAGGTAATGAGAGTTGCTTTTGACAAGAAAGGCAATTACTGGCAAATGCAGAAGCCACATGTCATTCAATTATTTTTAGAGTTTAATTTACCAAAAGAGCCATAAGGGAGCTGACTTTAAAAGCACCATCTTATTCTGATCTCATTTTGTTTCACCTTGCAGGGAGATGTAGTCATCAACTCCTAGCAAATCTATTCCCAAGTGTGTAATGTGTTTGCTCCCATTCTGCCTAGCCTCGCGTTCACTGCAAAACCTTTTCCCTCAGCTCAGCGCAAAATTTTCTTAAATAAAATAGCAAAAATTCTTCCTAATAAGCCATTTTCTTTTGCTCTTCTTCCGCACCTTGTATTCAGTCCAAGACGTCATGCACATCAAAGCTAAGACCCCTCATTGTGTGTCTTTAAAAAAAAAAAGAGAAGAGAAATTAAGGTCAAAATGTCAGGCTTAGGGCACCAATGTGGCCTCCCACATGCCTGGACTCCAAACAAAGCACCTTTATAAATCATATATCAACACGATATGATACAGACTAATGTAATTTTTTAGAACGTGCAAAACTATGTGTGCGCATTTGCTTGTACTTCGGTCTGTATGGGCTTGAGATTTGAAGAGCCACTATTAATCATCACAGATCACTGTGACCTTTCAGTGTTTACATCCATTCATACACTTCTTATTACAAGCATTGCAACCCAAAGGAGGACAGACCAGTTTTTAAAAACAAATACATTCCCTTTTTTTTGTAAGTTCCAATATAGATGGAAACCACAACATAACTTATGCATGTCTTGAAGAGACAGCTGCGGACTGGGCATGTAGCCACGGCCACATGTGCTCTGCTGTCACCACGGTCATGTGGTGAAACAAATACAAGGAGTCAAAGCAAATGTTTAAAGAACCAGAACCATACTTTTGCTTTAGGGCTGGGTAAAAATATAGTTTTTCCAA